TTTTGGGGTGTTCCCACTTTCACAGTTGGGAACCAGCGACGGGGTCATGGGCTCGTGTGGCTCATTGATGCACATGGCGAGGAGAGCTTGCTACGTGTGCCGATCAAACAGATGAGGTACTGTAGCTCAAACACTTCTGAAAAAGTGGTTCTGATAGAAAGGTGTCAGAATACACAATGCATCACCATCATTTGATGTTTTGGCAACAGGCAGGTGGTCATAATGTTTATATATTTTTATCATTTCCACAAATATACACCGTTATCCAATCAGAAAGCAAAACCTGTCCAACATAGGTCTCCCAGCACTGATCCTGTTGTCGGGTGTTCTTTTCAAACACAGCTGTCTGGTTGTAGACGTCCCCTGAGCTGCTCCTGCTGGTTACAGCCAGCACTGTGGCGATGGTTGCTGTGGTGCTGTTGTGATTCTTAGAGAGGGAGATATCTGACATGAGGGTGGAGAGGCTGTTTCCCTCAGGATGAGATATTGTGGCCAGAAAGGAGCTGGACTCATTCCAGTTACTGTTACTCACTTGGACCTTGAAGACAGATCACAATCCATACAGCTGTGTGCTATGCTTTAATTATATGAGCGACTTCAAAGGTATTTCTTAATTCAAGGGCTGCATCCTTAGAAGCTCCATGATGACCGAGAAGGAGCTTCTTCTCGAGTGGCTCGAGTGAGTGGCTGTTAACGGTCAAGTCCAACTGTGACAGTAGCAACTAGATATATGTTGGACAACATTGTTTGAAAGAAACAGTAACAAATCTTTATTTTATCCAAATTGCTTTACTGTTACTTGAAAAAACTAAGATGTTTAAATACACCATGGGAATATAAAGACAAGAGTCCCTTTAGACCAGAGTGTTAACTTTAGCCAATAAACAAAGTTGCACAGCAGCACAAAAGTAGCAACTATATTAGATCCTACAGGTTTGTTTTATTATAATATATATATTTATGCACATTTTGAAAAATGATCCAGGGAGGTATTTAACTCAAATACTGCAGTCCAGTTCAAATTCATGAAACACTTAATGATTTAAATTTACTTTATGGGTCTATGACTGACTGTTTCAGGTAAAATGAAGGGTAAACTCTTTTTTCTTAGCTCATCTGTATTCTCTTTATCACAGCGTATTTGTGAAAAAGAATGCACAAACTATAGTTCCTAGTAAGTCCAGGAAAAGATACACAAATTATAATATAGACAACTATTTTAATTGTCAGTGATGTAGTGTATTGATTTGTTAGATAACATTTACTTGTGATTAATGGCAGTTTCCACCAATTAATGGTTTCTATTAATAAATGAGAATAACCTAAGTTATGTGTGAACTTAGGTCAAGAAAAGATGTTTAAAATGCTAAAGATGCTAAATTCAATATAT